TACAAATAAAGCGTGACAACTACCGGAAATACACGATTTCTCTAGCTCTGTTACAGATGATGTCCAGATGGTCCATAGAACAGACAGGGCAGCAGAGTCGCTTTTATAAGGGATTTACCTCTTCCGGGACCGCACGACTCTGTTCAATTACCCTTGAGCACCGGACGTGCGGATGTTGTTCTTAAACTTTTAAGTCGCTCTAAATTTGTGCGTGATGATGATCGATTCCCTGTACCACCCAAAAATGTGCCCGATTCTATAAGTGTGCTATGAAGGCTAACCTACAGTAAGACGCAGGATCTAACTGCTAAATATCGCAATCTAAACTACTCATGTATGCAAATCCATAAGCATCAAGGAAATATTGCTAAAAACAATCTCTACTCATCTTTTATTCTAACTTTCGCGAAGACACTACAACAGTTTCATCTACCCGGAGGGGGGGGGGACACAAAGAAAGGAAAAGGCAAACGGTAGTGGTGTGTCTCGCACTCCCACCGTCCGGGTTGATGTGATAGCCTAGCTGATCGTGTGACCAATGTCATCCCACTGCGAAAGTAGCACCACTGTAGATCAACAAAGACCGATCTACTTAGATCTTTTGTTTGAATTTAAGATATAACCATATGCTAAGGATTCATAAGCCGCTAACCTTTATTTACGCAAAATAGCAGTTAGCCTCCATGACTTAACTTTCTAGACGCACCACCTGGAAAAAGATGACTAAATACGAAAATGCTTACCACTGCAAATAGGTCTGGCTAACGTTCCTGAATATGAATTATTGTGGAATTCTTTTTTGCGCTTCAACTGGTTTATTCTTCTTCGGAAGTAGCATTACTTGTGGACCATTCTCACAATAGAATTGTATTTGAGGAAAACTTGAAATAACTGTACATCTCTAACGAACCATAAACTATAGTGATTATTGATTATTGATCAGCCCACCCAGTAAACCAAAAGAAACACGGCCAGCTTTGTGCAGACAAGCGATGAGAGGAAATCGCTTCATTGGAAACAGAATGCTTTATATTAATCAAAAAGCTTTATGATGGTACGTTCTGGGGGATGAGAATCAGGGCAAGTGCACCCCTGGTGTTGTTAAAGTCTCGTTTGGAACCAGCTCATTAGGTCCTGAGATTTAGGATCACGAATCACAAAAGCCTCAGATAACACTGGTGTGGTATTGGGTCCGTTATCAGTAACATTATGAAACGCTAATGTGGACGCATGAAAAGAACATTTTACCTTACATTCAACAATAAAGCTGAAGGAAAACGATTTTTAATGGCCAGCGCCATACCATTAGTGAATTGTTTACCCGTGCACATTTCACACTCGTTCGGTTTTGCTTTATATTTGGTTGCATTTCCGAAACACCTCATGCCCAGTTATCTTTTTTATTTTTTCGGAACCACATAACACAGAATGAAAACATTTCCTTTTCTGAATTCTCATCCTCATCAATTCAGGTTGCTACCTATCAAGTCATTTTCACCTATCACCCAGTAGACATGGAAGAGCAGAAGCAAATTGAATTCTCTATCCCCTGGACGGACGGATACTGGCATTTGGGCATCCTGATCGAGCCGGAACACGTGAGTTTTGCATGGGTATTGAATCGCATTGACACGCACGTGTTCATCTCTGTGAGTTAGTGCAATCCCATTTTTTAATTACCAGTAGGCCCTATTTAAAGTTGTTGAATACTGCAAAGGGGAGAGTGAGAATAAAGTAACACGAAGAGATAAGCATTCCCGTTAGCGCTCAAATTAAATTGTGCATAATATTTGTCTAATTTGACCCTAGTCCCGTGTCACAAATTTAAAACCAGTTCGCAATCACTGCAGACGTCCTGTATTCATCCATTTTTGTGTCTTGTTGTTTCTGAATCACCTTGTCATTTACTGTGCAAGCGTTTGGAGGCAACCAAACAGCCGGTGAACAGTATGTCACATGATAAAGAGGCACGCATCCGTACCATTTGATTGAATGTAACGAACGAATAGAAAGAAACGGTGAGGGACACTTTCGTCTGCGCGCAAGCACACGCACAAGTCTGGAGTAATAACAGACAGACAGAGCACCAAATGACGATGGCATCTTTAGTCATAGGTGTGCCAGACCTCAGAGAGAGTTATTTTCTGACCTGAATTTCGGAATGTAGTGGACGAAGAAACATGTATGAATTAGTTGAACAAACGCTGGCAGCTCTCTAGCCTGGACTATGTCACGAGCTGAGCTGGCACCGGTCTGGTATCGGGTCCTAGCACGCCAACAGCTAGTTAAATATGGGTTTCTCTCGCGGACTAAATGAGGTAGTAGGTGATCAGGAGGCCCCAACAAAATGACTCGGCGGTTTCTAAACGAAGACAGGATTTCTCAGTATTTGGAACCCAAGTGATCATACGTGTTACATTGTAACTCCTCGTTGTGACTGAGTTGTAGTCCGGAACTAGGTCAAATCTATTGTGGACGGACGCCTTTCGACAGTGTCATAGCGGAAGTGTTTTAGTCCCAGATTTTTCGAGTAATTTTTTAGCAAATAAACAAACGTCGATTGGTAACTCATAATCTAAGATTGGTTTTGTCATATTCTGGTGTGCGGTCTTAATTTTACGCTCAGTCTATAAATCCCTGATTGTCTGCATAACCACTGCATTTCTTCACCCGTTCTTTATCTTATCTGAATGAAAATGAACCGTAATTCATTGACCAACTAGCAAATACGAAACGGCAGAGGAAATATCCTTCAAACGACAGTCAAACACTTGCTATGAACAATCTGCTGCTAGAACCCTGCTATCTTCCAAGCATTATTTTACAGATTAATTAAAGTAATATCGAAAATATATTCATTATACAATGTCGATGTATCAGGCAAAACACCGATAAGTCTCCACAGCAATTTCAAATGTGTTAGGATTCACTATCGGCATATATCCATTGACACTTTTGACTCAAAGAGGATTTTTCATTGGTGTAGGTCACTAAATCTCACTAACCTAAATTGATGCGCTTCCCTCGTTAAACTATGGAGAATTATTGGTTTAGCTAAGAACTCAATCGTTCATATTGAAATAGTCTTTTGTAAACAATTAGCACAGGTATGTACTCCAACTTGAATGACTTTGGCATGATGGGGGCAGACCGAGCAACAGTTCGGCTTAACCCTCAGTTCTGATATGTTCAGAGTTCAGACAGATGACCTTAATAGTATTATTATTATTATTATATTACTATCATTTAGATTGTCCAAACAGAAATTCGGTATATCCCTCCCATCGGGTTTTCTCGTACTTATTCGACTTGAGGCCCGACCCAATATTTTCCTTTTAGTACTCCTGTGATGTAGCATCCAAATTGACTGAAACGGTGTGATTCTATGTTCATGCATGAATGAATGAGGTTGTACAAATAAGTGAGTGCGAAATTGCTCCGCTCATGCGACTGTCGTAATGGAAGGTGTAGACTGGGCGGTGGGATGAGTCACCTGTACCAGTGTGTGTGTGTGTGACACATCCAAAGGGAACAGAAACCTGCTTTCTTACAACATCAGGCTGGGAAAACTAGAGAGAGCTTTGATATCTCAGCCGCTAACCGACTAAAATATGGGAAATTCCTCCTTTGTAAAATTGTGAGGGCTGAGCCATATAGATCTAATAAACCGGATAGTGTAATCGTGAAACGTTTACATGAGACATAGACAGAATAGCAACCAAAGTTGAATCGGTATTTTGTATGTGTAGTGGTCAAATCAATCACTGATTTAATGGATCCAAGGAAAGTGCGATGAACCGGACTCGGCAAAACCACACGTGGTGGCTCTCAGATTAGACGGTAGGGGGTGAGGGCCGTGAAGAGGAATGAGAAATGCATCAAAATTAATCTCAATCTTGCTCTACGAATCACAACACATGAATGTTGCATTGGCAAATGAGCAAGCTTTCACATGGACACACAAACATAAACGCTCGAATCCGCCTTCCAAAATAAATCTTTGAATGACTCCTCTCCCCCGACCAACCGTAGGAGCTTAGCCACAATGCACCATAACAAAAGAGCCAGCTGTCTCAAAAGGGACCTTGGAAAAAAGGAAGTAACGTAAGGTGTGTAGGTGAAGTGTGTCATCAAGAGCTTTTGTCAGTGTTATGCAGCGGTCTATTGACTAAACAAACCGTTCATCTCACTCCTTTCGAGCCCCGTGCCAGATAGTTAGCTGGTTGCGCTTGACCCACATGTCGCGTCCCGCTGTTATGACAACGCTATGAATCAGCAAACATGGGAGGTAGACAGAAAGTGAATGGATTATCCTCATTTGAATGCGATAGAAAAATACGCGGTAGCTAATTTTCAATTCCATACCATTCCAACTGTGTGGATCACAAAGTGAAAATTTACACGACTGAATTGTTCAATTAATCTAACAACCAGAGGTTATTTTTCGTTTCCTGTGAAAACATGCACCGGCTCATCAGGGTTGCAGCTCACTGCATTTGGTGGTACTTTTGGGTAAGATCCGGACGAAATCTCATCCACATACAGACAACACCTGTAGGTGCAAATTACATGTGTTAACGACTGGAGAACAAAACAATAACTAAATTCGGTCCAAAGAAAATTTCGAAAGAAACCGCGCAGTTGTCGCCGCAAACCACCGTCTTTAAGCATCAATTCTGATGTAGAGAAAGCCGACGGGGAAAAGATTAGCATGAAAAGGAAAACCTTTTGAAAGCCTTCTCAGCTTAATGGGGAGCATGGGTTGTTCGGGCAATTGCATCTGTATTTTTGTTCACGCCGATTCCTTCCGTGAGACCAGCTATCAACTTACTTAATATGACAAACCAGCGACAGGGCTTCCTCCGTGCAATTAACAATGAAACAAACAACAGTTGAATGCAACGAAATTTTGGCCGTCATGCGCAATCAAAACAATTAGGCAACTTTTCCACTACTTGTTTCAAGAAAACTTCGCCTGAGTAGTTGTAACCAACTTTTTAAGGCTCATGGGTTAGAAGAACAAAAATTCAGATGACAGCTAGCAAAGTTTCACCGCATCTAGCAAAAATATGAATACAGTTGTAGTAACTTAGGTACAATGAGTGTGTCGTTTGTGAATTCAAGGGATAAGAAAAATTCCGATTTTGCAGACCAACAAACCAGACGTTTATCACAACTACTGGATTTTCTTTCCAGGTTCTTATGTGAGTCATTTTGAAAGAGGCGCACAGGTGTGCATTGACCCGAGGCGTTGATTTTCTCCAATAGGGATGATTCCGAAAGGAGAACAGAAAGATAGAAAGAATTCGTGGGCACAGATGTGCTTTCCTTGCATATGTGCGCAGCAGGCCGACAATCTAATCAACCTTCATGATTTTCTAGCACAACTGCAGATCGTTTTAATGCAGTTCGTGTAACTGTATGCATACGCATTCCCCGTGCCAATTATTGATCAAAATACTATAGTCAATAAATGAGTTGCTAATAAATTTTACTGAAACCTGTCTCTGTGATAAATGGTTCCCTTTGTTTTCCTTGGTGTTTTACAGGTTTATGTTTCGTGGTTCATGTATTTTTCGTGCTGAAATTTCACCGCTTTTCTAAACTAACTTTCCCCAAGTTTAAACTAAGATCTTGTCGGACAGTACTCATTTACACACTGAAATCCCTGCTACGTGAAAATTTTTTCAGACCGCTGCACCATTTTTAACGCGTTACTTTCACGCTCGAAAACGAAAGGAATCAATCAATGGAATTGCACGATGGAATTCGCAAAAGATAGGAAAATATGCACGTCCGATGCGAAATACGTGCACTGGTAATTTTCGGCATCTCTCTGGTCCAGGAGTTGGGTTTGAGCAGTTTTAGAACATTGCTCGAAAGGCACGGTCCGTTGGACAGGGTCAACAACAACCGTCAAACAACAGAAGCCTTACGGAACCCCATCTTCTAGGCGTATTGATGATATGGGTATTAATAAAGTCTTGACCTCCTTCTAGGTTATGAAGTAGGACCCTCTATAATTGAACTTCGAATGAGCAAAGCCAGGATACAATATCTGTGAGGGAAATCAGATCTTATAAAGGGGTCATTACTCTGATGGATAATGTATGCGTCGGTAAACAGAAAAGTGTTTGGCACTCAAAAAGGCAAATTGAGATGTTCGGATTTCAATGAAATCATAGACCATGAAAGCTCAGGGTACATCTCCTGACGAGAAATAGTTAAAAAACTGTCCATCATTTGTCTAATCTGTTCACAAAATAACAAGTCCCTTGTTTGATGCTTCATTTTTTATCCATCCGTGAGTAGACGGGGGAATCAGGCTATGCAGTACAGTGAATTGTTCCTGACTTTTGAAATACAACTCAAACAACGGTGAATCGCATCGTTTTACAGTTACCTGTACCTCTTGATCGAGACTGAATTTATCTCATTGCAAATCGCTAATCGACCTAAGATTGCACGAGACTGATAAAACAAATGAATAGATCTAAGTTGATTATGTGGAAACACCGCCCAGGTAGTGTCTCTTTCTTTCAATAATACTATCTGTCTCTCTCTGAATGACTGATGCAAACTTTGAAATATATTTTACAAATTCTCTTTCGACAGAGAAAATCACTCACTAAGTCTGTCAAATGCTCTCGGTGACACG